TCAAAATAATTTCACAAACAGTTATGATGACCCCACTCCCCCCTATCCCCTCGCATTATAAACACCAAGGGGAAAATGTGCCAAAGACACACGACCTTATATCGTCTGTCCCGGATAAACGTGCAGGCGGCGTAACCATTTAATTCCCGCCAAATTCTACGGATGCGGCAATTTACAAATTGCGAGGCGGGTGAGGGCCAACGTAATGATTCTGGCCAAGTTTGTGTCGTCAAGAGCCTCCACCACCCGACACGGGCGAGCACATTTCGTTGCCGCGTGGCGTGCAGAAGCGTTTCGATGCGCCAATTCTGATCGTTGCCTCGTGGCGGTTGGTGGCCGAGCATGAGACTACGTCGGGCATCGACAGGACGAGTTCCAGGAAGGCAGAATAACACAAATCAGATTTAACTTCTTGCATCGGCTGCACCAGATCTGTGGCCCCGGGTGCCTGAGCTGGAGCCTGAATGACACCCATTCCTCTTCGTTCCTTGTGTGTCCCCGTCTCTCCTTCAGTATGATTTAAATGTTTCCTCCCCTTCCCCCCCCCCTTCTTCTTTTGCCTCCGGGGGAGTTAACAGGCTCTCGAAAAAAGGGTACGTACTCTGCAAACAAACCTAGAAACTCTATCCCTCCCTCCCCCACACCCCTACTGAACAAAGGATAAACATAGCACACACATGTTTAAAAAAAATACATTGCTCAATCCTTTACAGTGCCGTGTGCTATTCAATAAGGTGAGTGTGTGCGCACGTTAGGATACGGAATTCTGTGAAATCTAATGCTGGTTCTTCATTTGAGCCAGGGAGTTGTACGCGTACTAATTAGCATTGTCTCCTTTGTAAAAAATAAAAAAATCCCTTGCCTAGTGTAATATTGTAACTACAGTTATAATGGATTTGCCATTAATCTATGTTCGGCGATCAGATGCACCAGTGTTTTCGTTCAACGCATGCCGCCGTTTTGTGGGACACGTTATCGAACGTTACGGCTTGGCGCTGTGACTTTGACATGAGCTTCACGCAATTAAATCAATTAAAGTGCCGCTAATGAATGACTTTCCATTGATTTAAAATAGCGATGGCAAGATTGCACATGCGCACACGTTCGAGGCAATATTTTAAAGTCAACCGCAGCTTTGCAACAATGAAACACGTTGCTTATAATAAGAAACTGCTTTCAGGAAATCTGAAAGACGTGTGTTTGCACGTTGCTTGTGATCTCTTTGAATATGTTGCCCGGCCAGCCGAGTCGAAGCTCCCGTCCGCTACGCTGGTGATGTGGTCCGCACGACACACGCACTCTGCTCGTGTGCGATGGGTTAATGCCTCTTGTCTGTCTCTCCCTGTGGCTATGGCTGTTTCTCTTTTTTCCCGTGTTCTGTTCTCTCAAACGGGTCTGCCACCCCCTTCCTTGCGTGCCGCTTTCCTCTGTGCCGCTGTCCTTCCGCCCCTTGCCTTCCTCCACCCACCCCCCCTCGACAGCTTTCAGGCTCCGAGGTCTCTCTTTCTTCTCCAGCTCAGGTTTGTTACTCCACCTTGTCGGACGATTCCGCTCGCGTGCGCGCGGAACGACGTGAAAGACGACGGGAGTTTTGCGGAATATTCCCGTGCGTCGGTGGCGATACGGACAAATTGTGTTTTCGTTCAAATACGGGCCGGGTGAAATGTCTGCCCCCTTCCGTGATTGTGCAAATCAGATGGCCGCAGGGAACCACATTCTCCGACTGAACGCACCCTGCTAATGGAAGTGAAAGCCAGTCTCAGCGTTTGTCTGCTTTTAAATATATTCTGTAGGAAAATGTTTGTCCAGAATTCTCCGAGGCTGATTTACCAGAATTTTTTTTTTCTCTGTTGTGAAACGCACTCTTATTGAATTTATTCATTTCTACCAAAAAAAATTGTCATTGCTTATTTATGTCCACACTCAGAGACATCTAGTTGGAAAAGCCCATCTTTAATTTGAACCACAACGACCCCTTCCCTCTCCACTGTTCCAAGCCGCAGCGGTGCAGCGGAGAGCGATGCAGCCTGTGTGGCAGCACAACGGCTAGGCACCGTCCAGTGTTGTTAACGGTTAGAGCTGGTCCTGTATGTACGTATATATGTTGAAGTAGGGGGTGCAAATTATACTTTTTCTCCGAGGAGTCAGTGCGCACACTGGTGGTGGAGGTTATGTCTGTATGTATGTTGAACTTCTTTCGCACTGCCACATAGCCAACGCGTGCTAATGGGAGGTGGCTACCATCGTCGGGGTGTCCGTCGTGAACGTCTCAGTGCGGTTGACAAACCAAGGGGCGCTCCACACGTCGCTCCGTTAAACCGGCCCAGTCGGTGGTTTTCCTTCGTCGTGAAGGCATTGGATTAGATAAGACGTTTCTTTTATATTTGTGTTTTAGTTCGTTGTCCTTCCCCCGCACCTCCGACTGGCATGGTTGGCTGCGTACTGCGCGAAAGAAGTTCAACGGTAGACGTGTGGGCAAGTGTGTGCCGGTTTCCGTTCCTCCTCCCGGTGTTGGTAACTGTTCCCCACGTCGTCGTCGTCATCGCTGGCCGCGTCACGGCGGTGCTTCGGTTGCGTTGGCGTCTCGCCTGAGTGGCCGCCCTTGCCAGCCGTTTACTCACCTGGCTCAGTAGGGCGGTGGAAACAACGACACAATGCCCTGTGCTGGCTTCACCCACCACCTCGTGGCACCTTTTAACAGTCACATGGGCGTGTGTGTGCACGAGTGTGGATCTGTATGTGAAGGAATACATTTATTGTGCGTGTGTGGTATTTGTGTGAATGTGGGTCAGTTTGTAGATTTGCGTGTGTGTGTGCATGCGATATGTGTCTTGGTTAGCACGCTGCGCTACGAGCTCGGCCACCCGAGTTTGATTCCCACTCACGGCCAACACCAGTGACTGATCCTGGGCCTCCCCCAGGTGGACTCGGCCCCATATCAGTACCTGGTACGGTGTGTAACCATCGCCACTCGGGAGACAAAAGGCTGTCGGGCGTGGCACTCGCCCCCCAACCCCCTCGCGTGCAGTGCCGGCCTTCAGAGGTGCTCACGAACAGCACTTGCCCCACAAGTCTGTTGAGGCTATACGGGAGGGACTTTGTCTTTGTGTAGCTCAGCAATGGTTACACCCATTCGCGCTCGGCCTATTTACGACGCCGTTTTTATTAACACCCCTCCGATATGGATGCGCTGTACAAGTGCGGTTTGTGCTGTGTAAGCTTGACTACAAGTAATTATAGTTATTTAGGCTTGCAACATGCACAGTATTCGTTCACTATCATAGAGAGAGAGAGAGAACAACTCGGAGAGGCGCGAGGAGGAATCGCTGATGAGCAGAGGAAGGCGGCCACGCGATTGAGCTGGCGCCAACAATTTCTCAAGCTCTGCAGTCCTCTGTGTATCAAGGTGCTCTCGGCCACTTCCCGAGCAGTTAAAACCTGCGCCGCTCTCACTCCCTCGCAGAGTGCGCCGGAGAGCAAGCTTTCTCGATAGGGCGGCCCTCGCGATGGCGTGAGGCAATCCTCCCCCACGTCGCGCCCTTTTGACTTTATAACTCCGGCACGGCCCTTTCCTCTCAAACGCCGAACTGTGCTCAAACCCAAGTTGTGCTCGTTACGGTGCGAAGGTGGCGGCAGATAAGGGAGACCATCGCAGGGCAACGGCGTGACTGCTGCGGTTTCGTGCGGCGGATTTGGTCGTCTTGCAATTCGCACCTTAGGATTTGGTAGGAAAAAATAAAAAATTTGCCGCCTGCGCGGTCTTTCGCGCGAGCCCGCCGGCGCTGCGTTGGCGGGTGGTGACGGGTGGTGAGCGACGAGAGGGGTCCGCGATTCCACGCGTCGGTCAGGCCGTCGGGACGGACGAAACGCGGGAGGGCCTGGGGGGGGGGAACGCAGCGGAAACGCTCGTGGACGCGCCGGGATTATCGTCGCCATGCACAAACCGCCGGTTAGACGCAAGTCGGCTCTGGCCGAGAGATGGCGGAAGGCTGGTCGGACCATGAGAGGAGGTAATGTGCTCATCGGCGTGAGGTCAAGTGTGTGCCTGCTTTCACTTGCGACAAGGTCGGGGACACGCGCGTTTGCTGCGATAGCGTTGCTTTCCCACCGATCTAGTTATGTGCTCACGTATGTACATGATTGATTGGTGTTTCACTATACGTGGAGCAATTGTGAGGCGAGCATTTGTCTTGGGTCTGCACCTGTCTGTAAATATACGGCATCTTTTAACACATGGGAGTGTGACACCTGTGTGTGTGTGTCGGGCGATTCAGTTGGAGATTACTGAAACGATTTGCATCAGACTTTCTAAATTGTATGAACGCGCATGGGCCAGCCGCACCTAATGTGGTGATGTTTGGTGTGTGAAACCTTTCATGTATTCTGTTACGTGTTGTGTGCGGTAGTGGAACGGTAGTGCAGTGGTTAGCGTGCCGTGCCGCAAACCTGGCAACCCGAGTTCGATTTCCGCTCACCGCCAGCACCAGTGACGATTATATAAACCATTCCTGGCCATCCCCTAGGTCGACTCAGCCTCAAATGAGTTTACAGTGTGGTGTATTAACATCGCCACTGGGGAGACGACGATGGTTGGGCGTGGCGCTGGCCAATGACCTTGGTCTTTGTTTTATACATCTACAAAATAGATACTGTATTACATGCAGGGGCTGGTAACCCCTCAAACCTGGCACTCTTTCCGCTAAATACCACACGGTGAAAACACCCAAATAAGCTCGTGCTGGGTGGCCATCAGACAAAGATCCCCCGCGTAGCCTTAACAAACTGTTGAGGCAAGTGTTGTTAGCGAGCACCTATGAAGGCCGGCACGGCACACGTGGGGGGGGTCGTTGGCCAGCGCCACGCCCAACCACCGTCGTCTCCCCAGTGGCGATGTTTACACACCGCACGGGGTACTCATTTACCTGGTGGGTGGCCATCACCACCGCGTTGACGCACGTACCTGAGTCCTAACGGCGGGGTGCTGTTGGTGCGCGTGGCAGGCTTGAGCGAGAAGGTGCGCAAGCGGCGCTGCCAGGTGGCCTTCAGCTACGTGGCGCAGAACGACGATGAGCTGGACCTGGCTGTGGGCGACGTGGTGGACATCATCAAGGAGGTTGGTTCCCTGCTCCCGGCACCGCCGCTGGCCTCTCTGGGGCACGTCCTCATCGGTTGCGACGAGTGGGCGCCGTCTTCCCAATCTGCGGAAGGGAACGGGCTTTGTCGGGACGTTGCACCATGGAGTAGTTACAAAAGCAGATTCGTATTTAATTTTTCCTCAAAATCAATATGTGCGGCTGAGAATTTTCGTGCCGTGACGGACAGGCTGCTAATGTAGGTGTCTGCCTACGAAGCGATTGCTGTGTTGGCGCACACCTGCAATCTGACACTTTGCAGGCAAGGGTTGGTGGGTCAAGGTAGACGTGTACGACTCTCAAAACTGCCGGGACCGCGGGATACCCTGGGGATAGCAGTGCAGCAAGTAGGTTCAGAACCCATCGTTGGTAATGTGGTTATCGCATTGCGCGTCGAGCCTGGCAACCTCGTTTCGATTCCTTCTCACGGCCAACATCAGTGACAAACATCAGAACCGGTCCTGGGCTTCCCTTATCTTTGCTCGGCCTTAAACTATTGCCTGGTGGAGTGTGTGTGAACATGACACTGGGCAGATGAAGCTGTCCGGCCACAACACCACCTCCTCCCCCAACACTTGTGGTTCTGCGCCGGCCTTCATCGCCTCCGTTTCGCACGGTTGGCTACGTACGGTGCGAAAGAGGTTCCACATGCAAACATCAGCTGCTCGCTCTGCAGCATATATCGACAAGAGTCTGTCTGGGGGTGGCGTCGTCTCCTTGCCAGGTGGAGGAGGGCTGGTGGGAGGGCTCTCACAACGGACGCACCGGCGTCTTCCCCTCCAACTTCGTGAAGGAGGTGACGGAGGAGAGCGCCGAGCAGGAGAACGGCGAGTCGCCACCGCCCGCCGAGACCTCCGACTCCACCGGTAGGCCGAGGGAGCGGCCGGCGTGCCCATGTGGGCCTCCGTCTACGCGCGACACGGCCGCACAGCCGCTCTGCGTTGAGCGCAGGGGAACCGCTACGGCGTGGGGATGGAGGGATGGAAGGATTTGGCGGTGACGTTCGAGCTTTATACTTGCGGTGTGTACGATGTGTTTCGCCTCGCTCTGCGCGGCAGTCGTAGTAGATGCGTTACAAGAAAAAGGGCGCGCAAGGGGGACACCGCGCGAGGAGACGGCTGCCTGCCGAGTAGCACACAATACACACACAGTACACGAACACACAGTACACGCATAGTACATGAACACACAGTACACGAACACACAGTACACACACAGTACACAAACACAGTACACGCACAGTACATGAACACACAGTACACACCGAATGTTGTCCCTCATAATAATTGCATCTCACAGTTGCTGACGAACCACGTATAAGTTGAAAGGCAGCCAGGCATCGAGCCGGTACCAACAATTGCCCAAGCTCTGCGCTCCGCTAAATGTCAAGATGTTTTCAGCCAATTTATGTGTCAATACATGTAGGGCAGGAAACGGTAGCACCTGGAGAAATTCTACACGTGCATTGAGGGCACCACTCGTGCAGAAGAAGGGGCCGATGAAGATTAGTCCACAATTTTCCATCCCGCCTCCTGGCAAGCCAGAGTGCGGCACCTCCGCGACACGCCCACGCGAAGAGAGTTTCACGACATTTTTAGCGGTGATCCCCACCAGCCCTCGCTGCCTCCGTAGTGTTGCCGCATTACAGGCCACGTGCATAGCCACCACCACCACCGCCGCCGCCGCCGCCCGGCTTGCCCCCGTCCCGTTGGTGTCCCGGTGCGACAATGGTGCCGTCACAACCCCCCCCCCCCACACCAGACTCCAGCCAGAGGGACGGTGGCGGTGGAGTGGAGGGTGGCGGCGCCGGCGAGATCCAGCCGTCGAAGAAGCTCCGCGGCTTCGGCTTCGGGGACATCTTCAAGGAGGGCAACGTGAAGCTGCGTCCCCGCGCCGCCGAGGACAGCGCCGACGGCGCAGACTGCAGCAAGGCGGCCGACAGGGTGAGCACCTTGGGCATCTCCACTCGTGGACGTGAATCGTAACGATAACCCTGGCCAGCCGGACTCGGCACCGGGGAGCCATGGCACGGCGAGCTGATTTTCACGGGACATCTGTGACACTACTGGACATCTGTGACAATAACTTTATAGCTCACCGGATTCCTCAAACATAAATAAAGATTCTGAATTCAATAAAAAATTTTTGTTAAAACGCAACAAAACGACCCTGTTTACAGAACCGTAGTTCAGTGTTCTTCACTCATTTTCAGGGGGGGGGGGGGGGGGCACTTTTGCTGATAAGGCATCAGCAGTGCAAGGGCCGCCACCCCGCCTGCTATGGGGTGTTTTCACATGTTGTGTATTTTGGGGGGCCGCACGCCAGGGGGCCGCACTAAAGGCGAACAGGGCCCGCCACTGGCCCGTGGGCCTTGCAATGAAGAACACTGGTTTAGTGTATCCTCGCGTGATAATCGTATTCATCATTCCACGCTCTTGTGTGTGTTTGTGGGCATGTATGTATTTGGGGAGTGGTGATAGCGGTTAGCACAACGCGCTACGAAACCTGGCGATCTTGAGCGAATTTCCTAGACATGGCTCACATTGGTGTTGATTGGTATCTGAACTGGTCCTACTCCTCCCTTGGGTGTTAAACTAGTACCTGCCACAGTCTGTGCAGACATCGGCACTGGGGCGACAAAGGCGGCTGGACATGGTGCTGACCACACACCACCCCACCATGTGCCATACCAACTGCCCTCAATAAACACTTGCTTAGCATTTGCCCCAACAGCCTATCATGCTCTCAGGGGGATCTTTGTATTTGTGTACGCTTATATATGCGCGTGTTGTCTCGTCCATCTGTTCCTCTATCACAGTCCAATTTCCCCGGAAGCCACTCTTCCCTGACGAAGAAGAAGCAAGCGCCGGTGCCCATCGTGGACCCCGCCTCCAAGCCCGAGCCTGAGGCCCGGCACAAAGGCAAGAGGCCTCCTCCGCGCACAACAGCAGTCTCATCCCGACGCACAAATCACGGGACACTCAAACCATGGGGCCAAACCGGAGGTGTTAATCCACTGTGCGAGACCGTGCCGTGCCGTGCCGTGCCCCTGACGTCACTCGCGATGAACGAGTCGAGCGACGCGGGTAGATGTACCTATGAAATTTGTGGTTTTGGCCACCCACCCCCTCGCGTGCCGTGCCGGCCTTCGTAGGTGCTGCTCGCTAACAGCACTTGCCCCAACATTCCGTTGGGACTATGCGGGGGATTTTTGTCTCTGTTGTTGTATGAGAGTGGGCCACACTTTCACCAGGAGCCCGTGTGACCTCCCACCACCCCACCCCCCCACCCCCCACAGCTCGGGAATATTGCAAAGCGTTGTTCTCGTACGAAGCGCAGAACAATGACGAGCTCTCGCTCAAGGAGGGCGAGCTGGTCGAGATCATCGCCAAGGTGAGAGGCGCGCATCACCCCCACGGGGGGGGGGGGGGGGCGTCCCAGGCCCCCCCCCCCGTCCCTGGGCCCCCCCCCCCTCTGTCAATCCCTCCCATCACCCCCCTTCCCGTATGGAATGTGTCCCAGGAGTTGTGAGTTCCACTGGCCATGCCATGCTGTTGAGCTCTGAAGGCGTTGATGACCCCCTGCATTTTGATGCTTGCCTAAGAAGCTAATAGCTAAGTGGGCTTTAGCTTGGAGGATAAAAAATTATTTATTTTTATTTGTTTTTAAGTGATTTGTTTACGTTCCCTATACTTTGCACTCGTGTCGTGTTTTTGTATTGTTTGTTGTTTTAACGTTCTGACCCGCCCCTAATGGACATCTGGGAAAAGAGCGTTGAAGTTATTTGGATTTCTCCTGCATTAATAAATATTCTGATTACCTTTGATTGCTTAATCCACATTGGGGCCTATGCAAGGGTCCTTGTGCAAACTAGATGCTGATTTGTTGGAGCGTCGCTGTATCATAATTTCGCACGAAAAAGGTTGCATTATCAGAATAACATGATTTGTGCCACCTGTGGAAACGTAGCAATGCTTTGCGTTTTGTGCCCCGATGTTTAGCGCCAAGGTCACGATTTGTCTCCCTGTTGAAGCAAAATAAAGGGTTCGTTTTGACTGGTCGCGATTCACGTGCGCGTGCGATTCCGCCACTGCCGTCGGCCGGACGGGGTGGTGGTTTTCAGGATTGCGGGGACGCGGGCTGGTGGGAGGGGGAGGTGAACGGGAAGAGAGGCGTCTTCCCCGACAACTTTGTCAAGCTTCTGCCCGCCGAGGTGGAGAAAGAGGTGAGGCCCAGCCGTGCTCCTTGGTCCTCTGCCGCTTTTTGACCGCTGCCGCCGTCGCCTGTCGGCGGGAAATAATTGAGCATCGAGCGATAAACCGCGATCGTGCGCAAACTCGCCGCAGGTGTTTTCTTGCAGCCGTGCCGTAAAATGCGGTCTCCCCATCGCTGTGTTTCGGTCAATCTGGCTGCTCGATTTTTTTTTGCTGTGAAAATGGCTCGCCCTTGTCTGTCCTAACACCATGCAGACGATATTTTTTTAGTAGGCAGTGTTGATTATGAATGAGAATATGTTTGTATGTTTGTTCATATATTGCGTTTGCAAGGTTTATTGCCGACACATCGTTGATGTGATTTTCACAGTCACTCTATACGTTGCTGAAACTCTGAGGCCCTGTGGTCATAGCCATGGTCTCTGTGCCAATCTAATAATTGGGGTATTCATTATCAGGCTATAGCTGGTGGCCATGGCTCACTGATGAGTTGTTATGATATCGAAACCCAACTGTGTTGGATATAGCAGACTGCAGAATGCCATCCTCGATGGCCAATTGTCAGAAAATAGAAAAAAAATGTAACATAAAATTTCTTTATTTTCATTGTTTTATTGACTCAATGCATCGACATGGTTAAGTAAGCTCAAATAAACCACCACGGATGAGATGACTTCGCTAGCCCTTCATCCACTCGTGGATTGACTAAATGGCGAGTAAAAATATATATATCAAGATGCATCGCTCAAACAGACATTGCCACAAGCATCACTTCCTATCTAACTCAAGTTGGAAACGTCGTAAAGCCTCCGTGGAGACCCGTCGCCCGTGACTTTAATCTTCTTGTCGTGTTTTTCTTTCACTTGTCACATTCTCACGTATTTCCGCCCACCCCCCGCCTTTCAGCAGCAGCGCTCATCACCTAAATTCCTCAGCAAACCTTCACTGAGAGTTGCCGAGGATGTGAGTGGACCTTAGGTGGAGCCGCCTCGCCGCTCTTTCGGGGCGGCATTTTACCATCGCAGTAGTTGCAGCGATGCGAGTCACTCCGCTCCCGTGTTGATCGGGGCGCCGCGGTGGCGAGATGTTGACTCCCTCGCCTGGTATGCAGGAGGTTCGTGGGTTCGATTCTGACCCTGCCGCCTGTATATTTGGAGTTTGCGACACTCTCTCCCCGTGGCAGCGTGGATTTTTCTCCAGGTCCTCGGGTGTTTTCTTCCACATTTAGAAACATGCTGTTTTTAAACTATTTGGCTGCTAAGAAATGTCCATGTTGATAAGCCACTTCGTTGACCATCATTTGTGGCCAGGTCACTTCTGAAAAAGAGCTACATAGCTCAGTGAGCCTCGTAAAATAAAAAAATTTCAGTAGTTTTAGAGCGCTTCGTTGTGCCTCACCCTGTTGTACCTGGGAGCTTCGCTCGCTCGTTGGAGTGCAGCAATCCAAGCTCACCTGCCGCGCTTCTAAACTCCGCAGAAGCTTGCTTCGATGCGCTGCTATAGAAGTGTGTTCAATTGTCACCCCCCACGTACCGTGCAGGCGTGGGAGAGGTCATCATCCAGCAGTGGATTGACAAAAGAGCTGTACGTGTGCACACTTCTATAGAAGTATGCACAGCTTCTGCTAAGCGTTGTTGTTTTGACTCGTCGATTTGTTATGCTTTTTAATACGGTTTCCATCAGCCTCTGCGCACATTCATATATATATGCACGTATATGAAATGAGTTTTTAGATGTTTTTGCGTTGGAGTTTGAAAAGAAAAAGATCGTCTTTGCACAGTGGGAGTAGCCATGGTTGTCATGGGCACCGATGTGAGTAATTTAAATTGAGAAGGATGGTGGGGTGGAGTTGGAGATGTGGTAGGGGATGGGATTGGGGAGAGGGGGGTCCTATCTAATCTACCCCACCCTCCTCTTAGCCCGGCTCTTGGGCCCCCCACCATCTTGTGGGACGACGGGATGCAGTTGCACCGCCTACGCACTCGATAGCTACGCCGCCGTGTTTGCATACGCTTGCTTTTGCACCAAGACCGGGGAATGTTAACGTGGCTGTGATGTAACGGGGGCCTCCTGTTGGTCGCGAGGTGTTTAAGCCACCCGTCGCAGCCGCGCTAACGACCCCCACGCCTTTGCCACCTTCGCAATGAATGCTGATGCGGTTGGTCGCGCCTCGCCGTCGCAGCCCTGGCCTCAAAATGTCATTGTGCCCCCTAAGGAGGGGGGTCGGGCGCGCTTGGGAAAATGCGAGTACAGCAGCTTGCATTGACTCCCGTGGGGCACATCCATAGCTGGGCACCGATTGAGAGTCCAAGGCCGCGTACGTTGGCAACCAACCGAAAAATCAAGAAACAAAAACCCAAATTACGGTGGCAGAGCGTGCACGGGGTTCCACTTGCTTGCTAGACAATTTGCCTTGTTTTTGTTGCCTTTGTGATTTCCGCACAAAATTCGAAGTGTTTTTTGGAAAATTCTTTATCAGAGGTGAGATGTAACAAAAAACAAATATCCTTTGGTAGATCCAGACCAAGGTGTCTGCGTGTCCCTGTCTGTCTAAAGCGAGTTTGAAGCTTTGATAATGAAAATGAAAAAGCTTTTAAAGTTGTGGTTAGGATCGCTGTGCTGACAGCCTGTCGTGCTGTCGGTAAGCACTCCTGACCATAACTTTGCAATTCTTTTTTCTATGAACGAAGCGAACAAATCAAGTTGAACAGCCCAAAACTCTTAAGAAAGTGTGTACAAGGTAAAAGTAAATTTTCATGGCCTGTGGCTTCCTTAAACCTACTGTGATCTCAATTTACGTTCTAAAAGCCCAATTAAAGCCTCCTCAATGAGTGGTTTGCTCTCGCTGAAATAATCAAGGAATCAACTCGCTAGCTTGTCCACAGTTCATCCTTGACTGATATAATTGTCTGTAACCTCGCCCCCCCCCCCCCCCCCCCACTGTCTCTCCTCAATCCCTGTCTTTTTCACAGAAGCCCAAAAAGCCGCCTCCTCCAGCCACCCTCGTGAAGGTGAACCTAGGAGGTGAGTTTGCAGAGGGATGATTTTGAGCAGTGTTGGCATCATGTGTATGTCTGTATGTTGAACTTCTTTCACACTGCATGTGGCCAACCGTGCTCATCAGAGGTGCGGGCAAAGGACAGCAAACTAAACACTAAAAGCAGTTCTAAAGGAATTAGTTTTCAATCTAGATTTAAAAGTGCAAAGCTCCGGTGGCTTCCTAATACAGGAAGGAAGAGCATTCCAGACGGCCGCAGAAGCGCATCCGAAAGCGCGCGATGCGGTGATCGCCTTTGTTCAGTGGCTCGCCAAAAGCCGCTGTGTAATGAGGTACGGTGCCACACATTGCCCCGAAAGTCCAGGGTGTCTGTAGACTGTAGAGTCTGGGTGTGCGAGCGAGCGAGGGAGCGCGCACATGTGAAAGGTGAAGGTGCAGCCCTGCAATTGGTGTCTCGCGCCACTGCCGGTGGGAAGGCCTTCACGAGAGGGAGCTCTAGAGCTTCTCTAGAGATTTTTTGGATTGATTCTCGCACACTGACTCGACGTTTTGTAAAAGGTGCGGGCACTCACGATTTACCGCCACCGTACACGGACCTGCCGAAAGGGCTGGCTGTGGTATATGGTACGGTGGAGTTTAGTTGCGTGCTATATAATGGCCACATCACCACACCACACCATGCTACACCGTTATTCGATTGGCAGGTTGTGTATGGTGTGGTGACAGTTGTGGTGTAAATTCCCCCTGGCTTCTGCTCACCTAAAAGTGACAATAACTACATACAGATGGTTCAAGACAAAACATGCAAAATTTATATCAGAATTTTCGTGTTTGGTTGGCCGCTCTTTTGCAACGAGTGTTCCACTTGTGCCAAGTGACCGGAGTGCCTGGAGAAACTCGGGCACATGAAAGGGAAGGGATAGAACTCGGGCTCTGTGCATAACGGACTTCAAATTGTGGATTCACCAAAAAACCTCCACTTAGGCGGTAGATGGCGCCAGAGTTGTTTTAAGATCTCACCGAATGAACCGTGAAACGCGTTCGTTCCCCTTGACGCGGCTTACAACGCGTGCGTGGGCGCCTCCCTCCTGCCAGACAAGAAGGATGTCCGCAAGGTCGTTCCAGACAAGCCTGAACGGCCCGAGCTCCCCTTCAAGCAGGAGGAGAAGGGTAAGTCAACGCACAGAGACAACGGTTTCCCGACATAGCCGCGCGGATTAAGACGAACGCCGTGAAGGCATGGGTGGCAAAAACCCGATTTTTCCAGCGGCAGGCATCGGGTTTTTTCTTTAATACAGTTAAACCCGATTTCGGGGAATTAAACCTGGTTTAATGAATACGAAACTCTGATCCAAGGCTTAGGCTGCTTCCTTGTCGGTGCTGCTATCGTACTCGGGGCCGTCGGGCACGGGGTAGTCGTAGAATGCGGCGGGCAGGTTGGTCTTGATGAACGCGAGCTTCTCCACAATCGTGGGCGCCAGTGAGTTCCTTCGCTTGGAATGGATGAAGCCCATCGTTGAGAAGTGCGGTTCTGCAATTAGAACCAATTAAACCGGATTTCTCCCAATCTCAGATGATCGGGTTTAACATAAAAAGACAAGTAAACACGATTGTAAAAAACGCGACTGTGCCACCTTTGCGTCAAGGCGATCTACGCGGTAACTCCGATCTGTTACGACTTTGATGAGTGAGCGTTGTTTGTTTGCTGGCCGCTCAATGTTTTGGGGCCCTCGTGGGCCTGTGCTCAAAAAGTATAAAAAAAATTTTACTTTCCTAAAATATAATAATATCAATTTTGATACTGGCAAAAATGTCCCAAAGATATAACTCCTCTATGCTCTTTGGTTCTTTCGGTAAAGTCACGTAGGTATAAAATAAAACAAAAAATAAGATTAATAATATTATTTTCTACCTACATGACTTTACCGAAAGAACCAAAGAGTATGGATTCCTGCAGTCACGAAAGCTTCAAATCAAGATAACTCCTCTACTCAAGCTGTAAGTGCTCTGATACTTTAATAATTGCCTTTGTACTGTTTTGCTTTTGCCATTCTCTGGTCTAACACTGGTGAGAAAAGGCCGTAAAGAAGGCCGTCTCTCTCTGGTGTAGGGCAATCGATTTCAAAGACAATGCATATATTATCAGAGCATGTTTTGCCACAGATATGCGTAGTTAATGCAGACTTGATGCCTTGCAAAAAGGTATCTATTGGGTGTTTGAACATCTTAACACCTCCTGTTTTTATTTCCAGAAAGGGTGAAACTTCTTCTTATTTTACATCAACGTAATCATTATTGTTAACGTTCTGCACTGGCTCACTTGTGTCTCTCGCAGACGAGAGGCACCCGGACATCCCCGCCAAGCCGGCTGCTCCGGCCATCCCCCCCAAGCCGGCGGCTCCCAAGGGCCCGGCCATCGCCCGCATCGGCTCCGGCGTGGGTCCCAAGCGGCCGGAGAAGCCCTCCACGCCCGTCTCCCCCGTGAGGTACGCGTGTGTGTGTGTGTACGTATGTTGACTTTAGTTTGCACCATACGTAGCCAACCGTGCTAATCAGAGGTGCGGGGGAAGGACAACAAAGTAAACGCAAAAATTGAAAATAAAGTGAATAAATAAAAAAATACTAAATAATATTACGGCCAGGTGGCTCCGTGGTCGAGCGAGCGGCTCGCCATTGGGTGGTTACGAGTTCAAATTCGGGTTGGGGGTTGACTCAACTTTTCATCCTTCCAGGATCAATAAAATGGGTTCCACTTTAAAACGAGTCTTCCGCCTACTAAACTTTTAGTGAATTGCCTCAGCAGTCCACCTGCTGTGTTGTTTCACCTGAAGACGATGGCTTGTGTTGCTATCGAAACGTCGTGATTTATTAGTTATTTTTCTATCTACCTGACTTTACCGAAAGAACCAAAGATTATGAGTAAAAGTATTATAATCGAAAAAAAATTAGCCGAGTGTCTGCTGTTGCTATGCCCTGTACAGTGCTTTGAGACCCTTTCTGAAAAGCTCTTTGTAAATGGAATTATTATTAATACTTTGTACCTATTTATAACCACGTGCCCAGGACCCCTGGTCGAAGGGTAAAGTGTCGCCTCATTGCTCATGAACAAGGGCGACGCTTAGACCTTGAACACCCATCGGTTAATAATTTAGAAATCAACAGCTGTCGTTATTGCCCCTCAAGTTGAAGCTACACAGCACTCGAGTCTGATTGTGCTGTTCGAGCACTGCTAGCGTGTTAAAATGCAAATCAATTTATAACATTTTTGACATGCGTTTTTATGGATTTTTTTGTTGTTATTCTGTCTCTCACTGTTCAAATAAACCTACCATTAAAATTATAGACTGATCATTTCTTTGTCAGTGGGCAAACGTACAAAATCAGCAGGGGATCAAATACTTTTTTCCCTCACTGTACACTGTGCAACGGCCATGGACGTAGCGGCAGGCAGCGGGAGGCACCTGCAGCGCTCCCCGTATGCGTCGCGGCAGGGTCGCGGTTGTTCGTTGCGCTAAACCTGCACCTGCTCATTCCCCGCAGGCCTACGGGTGACTTCGTAGGATTCTCCCACCCCAAGCTGGTTGAGCTGGACTCGTCCGACAAGAGCACAGACAGCGGTGAGTCAGTGGCCCGGTCGCTACGAGGATGACCGACACCCCGTCCCCCGCTCTCAAACGCTCTCTGCTGATGAGGCCGTGTTCGTGGGCTGCTCTTGTATCGGGCGCGGAACAATTTTTGAACCGACGTGAGCATCGGAGTCGCACGCTAGGCCGTGCGATGCTCAATGCTCGTATTTGTATTGACCTCTTGGGCTCACAGTAGCCGGCCCCCCGCTGTTCTTTTGATGTCGCAGCGCGTGGGGTTAATTCTGTAAATTCTTGAGTTTGCTTAAGTCCAAGTGAAGGATTGTTGAATTGAGATGCAAATTTCACGCAGCTCTCAACTTGTAGATAAGATTCTAGGCTGTGTGTCCCAGGCAGTCCATTAATGAGGATAATGGATTTAAATGCATCGTCATGGTGCTTAAATTACACTGCTAATCTAATGACATCACTGTATTGGTGCTGTTCAAATGTAAGGATTAATTGTGGAAGGTAGATCCTAGCGTGAACAATACAAGTAGACAGTGCACAGGAGATAGCTAAGGGCACCACGTTCCTGTGTGTGTGTGCGCGTGCGTGCATGCATTTCTCTATGAGTGTGTGTGTGGGAGCGGTAATGTAGTGGTTAGCCCGTTGCACTATGAACCCGGCAACCCAAGTTCGATTCATGCTCACGGCCAACGCCAGTGACAATTGTCTAAACCGGTCATGGGCTTCCCCTAGGTAGACTCAGCCTCAAATGAGTACCTGGTGGGTGTGTAAACATCACCCCGGGGGAGACAAAGGCGGCCGGGCATGGTGCTGGCCAACCTCTCGTGTGCCGTGTCGGCCTTTGTAGGTGTTCGCTAACAGCACTTGCTCCAACAGTCTGCTAAGGCTATACGAGGGATCTTTGTCTTTTTGTGTATTCTGTGTTTAAGGGTGTGGTGTTGGCCACCCTCCCCCACCCCCTTTCGTGTGCCGTGCCGGCTTTCATAGGAGCTCGCTAACAGCACTTGCTCCTGCAGTGTGTTGAGGCTACACGGAGGTGGTGGGGGATCTTTGTCTCAGTGTTCTGTGTTCCGTGCTGCTTGACCGGGGTGCAGAGCTGGTGGGGTTCGACGTGGTGGTGCCCTCTCCCGAGAAGCTCAATCACCCGACCACCAACCGGCCCAAGCACAAAGGCCGCCGGCCACCCAGCCAGTTCCCTGGCAATGTCTTGGTATGGTCCACATTGACACCACCACCACCCCCCCCCCCCCCCTCTACCACCTCCTTGGGCATCTCATGGTGGCACAACTCTGGATGTTAGGGCAAGGGTGGGGAACCTTTGGCCCTCCACAGACGAGATACGACGGCCCTCAGCTTAAGGCCCGAGGCTCCCAACGAGGCCTATCACTTGGAAGCGCTCCGCGAACGATACGTATTTTTTTCCGCTGCGGTCATCTTAGCGTCACTCATCCGGTACTAGAGGGGGGGATATTTTCGACCTGGCAACACCGCGTGTTCTAACGTCAGCACGCTCAGTCGCTCCTGTCGATGCAAGGGCCTCTTTAACTCCGGGGGGCTTTATTGCCGTGACGTAAACACGTGACGAATCTGAGATGATTGAAAGTTACGTTTGTGGTTTGAACGCGCGTTTCATGCGATCTTAACGAGTACATTTTAAGAGAGGAATGTACGAATCGCTATCGCCGCAGTTGATACCGTGGTTTTATAGGACAATAGTGAATGGCCATGCATGTGCTCAGGAAAAGAGTGGGGGTCTGTCGGTAGCGATCGTCGTTAACTCTCACGATAAGAAAGTTAAACTCAAGAGACAAGCGCTTCGGTGTAATGGACGCGTGGAGATTACGCTTGTTGACCCGGGAGACCATCGCCGATTCTCAAGACTCTTTTAGGAGGGTTCTGACAAGTTTTCACAGTAACGGCGGGGGGTGATTTTGCTGCTAAGCGTAAATCTATTTGAGTCATTTAAAGGTAATCTTCTAGCATTGGGATGTTTGGCCGAATACCATTCACATTGTTTTTTTTATCTATGGGTGGAAACCAGGTAGAATCCAGAGGGAAAACCCCATGCAGAACAGAGGGAGACAACCTACAAACTCCACACACAGCGAGGCACCCGATTCAGCAATCGAACCCAAGGCCCTCTCTTACCGTGATGCACGAGTGTTATTCCTGCGGCGGCGCCAACCCTGACTCGTGCCGGACTACACCCCCCCCCCCCCCCGCTTGCGTGCAGTGGGAAATGGAGAGCCCGTCGGCGGATGGCGCCGTGTCCCGCTCGGACTCGGGCGAGGAAGCAGAAGATAAGCAGCACCGCACCCCCGAGCAGCCGGTACGCGGTGGGGGGGGGGGGGCGGTGGAGGTAGCCGGGGCGGGGGGCGGTGGGGGGGGGTCGGTGGAAGTGACGGCGATGCGCTGGTGTGCTCGGGGCTGTGCCCCCGCTGCCACGGAGTGTGGCCCAGTTTAGCGCCGCCGCGATGCGCGGTATCGACTGCCGCCTTTGGGTTTGTGCGTTCCGGAGTTAGCTTTATCGGTTTCGGTGTTTGGTTTGTTTACCGTTATTTTATTTCTTTATATTTTTAGAAGATGAAAAGCAATACAAAAATAACATCACAAGCAATAAATGAGCTGTGACTTTAGCCTTCATGGAAATAGTGGGGTTTATTTGAAGAAAACGGGGAGGACTGCACCCCTGCAATGGCTACCTCTGCGTAGGTTTTGCGCACGTGGTGCTTATTTCTCGGGTTGTAGCGCGTGTCGCTGTACCGCGTGTCGTTTGGCGCCACGCCTGGCGTTTACTCGCTGGGAGCAAAACGCCGGGACGTGGCGAACGGACGCGTGGGGCGGCACAGCCCGGCCAACTCAAACGGAGAATCTGCGAACGATTTTATCGTCGCTTTCGCGGACAGCTGGACCTCCCACAAGACAACGCGGCCGCCGCTAACCCTGTCCCTCCGCCGCCACCGCAGAACTCGTCGCAAACGGACGGCGGGCGTCCCATTAGCAAGATGCTGGAACCAAAGAAGAAGCCGCTGCTGGGCCTGGGCGGGACGACGGCGACGCCCGTGACTCCTCCAGCGTCGCAGGGGTCGCAGGGGGCGAGCGGAGGGGCGTCGTCCCCGCTTTCGCGACCCCTGTCGGCCATCGTGAGCGAGGCGCTCAGTTCGCGGAGACAGCCGCCGTCCGGCGCGGAGCCACAAGGCGGCGGTGGCGGTGGCGGCGGCGGCGGCGGCGGCGGCGGAGACGACCTGCAGGCGCAGGTGCGAGAGCTTCGCGAAGCCATGGAGGCCATGAAGATTCAGCACAAGTAAGGAGGGCTGTGGGGGGGGGAGGGGTGCGATGTTGCCGGGTGTATCTTTATCGTCATGTGCCTCTGCATTAGCACGGTTGGCTAGGTATGGTGCTAAAAAAGTTCTACATAATTTACGTGTCCTTTCTTGTTCTTCTCCCTGGTCTACAGCCAAAATGCTTCCGAAATAAATGTAGTACAAGTTTACTAATTCTGGGTCACTGAGAATGAAAATGATGCTTAAAATTGCTGATTGGTTCTAGTTTTCAAGATATGCTGCTGGGTCAGTATAATAGACCCTTGACTTGGGAATGGCGGAGGATAAGTGAGTTATAAAGGGAAGTGATCTCAATTTAAAACAGAAATGACTAAAATACATGTGACTGGATCTCTGATGAATCTATGACTGGGTTTGGACAGTACTTTTTGAGCAAAACAATGAATGATGCAATCTAAACCTGGTATTGTGTCATGCATAATATGAATTGCATCATGTTATTCCTAGAAGTCATGGATGATACAATCATATCTAGGCTTGCATCCCTCTGCTGAACAAATTGCCCTATATCAGCTCTATAAATCATACAGTGTCGTGCTCTCGTATTTGTTAGTGTTTGATTGTGCAAGGGGACACATTTCTGTTTCGTCAAAGTGAGCAGAGATGCCTCGTGCTTGTGTGAACAAAGTAAATCATTTTTATGTTTGTGGTGAAGTGACTTTTTCATCACAAAAGCGCAGTATAACCACTATGGTTAAGAAAGCCTATCACCTTTATTTTGGCTACAAAATTGGAGATCAGGACAAGATGTGGGCTCCACACATATGCGGCAACACGTGTGCAACAAATCTTCACCAGTGGTTGAACAGGAAAAGGAAATCTACGCCTTATGCAGTGCCAATTATTTGTAGAGAACCAACAGATCATATCAGCGATTGTTACTTCTGCATGGTGCCTCCAGTTGGAAAAGGTGTCGTAGAAGAAAAAGTGGACTGTGCATTATCCAAACATTCCATCAGCTATATGCCCAGTACCCCATGGAGAAGGACTGTTACTTCCTGATGCACCAGAATCATTCTCACTTGAGTCAGACGAGGAAGAGGATGAAACTTCTGGTCCTGAACCATCAAGGTCACATGACCCAGATTTCGCCCATCCTCATCCTCTGATCCACACCTCATAACACAAGGTGAACTGAAAGACCTTGTCAGGGATTTGGAACTACCCAAGAGTAAGGCAGAGCTGATGGGCTCCAGACAGCAGCAGTGGAATCTCCTGGCAGGTGATGTTAGGGTTTCCATGTTCCATGACCATCAAAAGGATCTTGTCCCGTTCTTCTTCATGGAAGGTGATCTTGTCGCCTGCAACAACATCGATGGTGTGACAGTAGCCCTCAACATCGTTCATGATCCAGATGAGTGGACTCTGTTCATTGATTCATCCAAGATGAGTCTTAAAGCTGTTTTGCTGCATCATGGTAATGTTTAGTCATCAATTCCAGTTGGTCATGCAGTCCATATGAAGGAAACCTATGACAACACGAAACAACTTTTGAGGTGCATAAACTATGACCAACATCAGTGGCAGCTTTGTGGCGATGTGAAGGTTGTTGCTGTCTTGCTTGGTCTGCAGACTGGATACACAATGTACCGCTGTTTTCTCTGCGAATGCGATAGTCGTGTGAGAGATTCCCACTACATCAAGACAGATTGGCCACTCCGACAGTCATTGGAGCCTGGAGGAAAAGTGTTCAACATCCACCACTTGTTGAATCAAGGAAGATTTTGTTACCACCCTTACACATCAAGCTGGGTCTGACGAAGAACTTTGTCAAAGCCATGGACAAAACACAAGCAACTTTCCAGTACCTCCGTGGAAAATGTCCAAGGTTAAGTGAAGCTAAGATAAAGGAAGGTGTCTTTGTTGGTCCTCAGATTCGTGAACTTCTTCGAGATGATGCATTTGACAGTGCACTGAAGTTTCACTCTGCGTTGCTGCGTTTAGTTAAATGTATTTGTTTGTTGTTGCCCCCTAATGTTCATTTCTGTCTTTCTCTCCCCCCCCCCCCCCCGTGCGACGTGCCCGAAAGGAGAGAGATATCGCAGCTGGTCAGCGAGCTGGAGGAGGAGAAGAAGCGGAGAGTGCAGCTTCAGGTACCACGCGCTCGCACCAACTACTCGCGCTCGCCACGACCACGCGCCGCTCACGTGGGCTCACGTGGGCTCACGTGGGTGCCCACAGTGAACTACAGTTGGACTTCTTTCGCACCGTACAAAGCCAACCGTGCTTGTCGGAGGTACAGGGGAAGGACAACAAACTAAAGCAGTGCTGAAGCAATGAGTTTTCAAAAAAGATAATTAAATCACTCTTCCCATTACTGCCTGATTACTCGACCAATTGATAAAATAGTTGGGACAGAAGCCTCGCCTCTGTTCCCACCCCACACCCCCCATGTGCCACTGGGCGGGGGGTAAAGGGCGGGGCTTGTTGACATCATCGGCATCATCATTGGCTGCAACGCATTGGACGTGGATTGTAACGGTTTCCGCTCTCCGGCAGGCCGGATATGGGGGCAGCCAGCATTGTTAAATAGACCTAGCGGTCGTGTAATGGACCACAGAAGCGCGCGGTCAAATACGATGCTTTTCTTGAAGATTAATCATCAGAGCCGTCGATCTCGTCAATTCGTTGTCCCAGCGCCGCGGCGAGCTCGGCGAGGCTCGCGAGTTTTGTGGGACGTTTGCGGTTCCTCGGTCTTCGAAGATGAGGCCGTCGTACATCTCGCGATGAGGCATTGCTTCTGGACGGGTGTTAGAGCCCCAGGCCTTGCTGCATGTCGGATCGTTTTCTCTGCGCACTCCCGACAGGTGGAGGTGGAGAGGATAAAAAAGCAGCTGCTGGTGAAGTGAGCGAGCCCACTTTGGAGGAAGATCGACCGGACGAGAGGACCAGGGCACGGCCGAAGAGAACGAGTGTGACAAAAAAAAGATATATCTTTATTTTTTGTTTTGTTTTTATTAATATCGGACGTCAGCGAATTTAAGTTCATATTTTTGTTTTAATTTTGTGAATATCTTTGTTTTCTCAATCAAAGCTTGGTGACATGGGGAGATCTGATTTCTATATATGTACAAGTATATAAATATATATCTGGGTCTGGTGTAACCTTTTTCTGGGTTTAGATGCATATTGTTACTGGAATTTTCACTGTAAATAATCCCTGCCATTGTGAGCCAAAATGGCCTTAAGATATGAACCTATGCTGCACCGCTGACTTGAATTTTGCACTGTGCGCGCGCGCGTCTCTCTCACAAAGCAGGGTCAGGAATTGGTTGAGTCAGGAAAATTACACGAACCGCATCATCACAGTCTTCTGTGTCTCTCTCTCTCCCCAGCCAGAGCCCCGCCCGCCCGCTCTTAATTTCTCTTGAGAAACTCGGTGTGCTCAGCACTGTTGCTGTCACCTCTTGTCCAGTCAGCCAGCCAGCCAGCCGCCCACCCCACCTCTGCTCTTACTTCTTGCGGTCCAAGCAGCTTTCCTGTAGCTAGTCGGCACCCCTGCGTTCGTCTCCTAGGTCGCAGCGGTATCCTTTCCATCCGCGGTGCTTGGCGTTCGCCGTGAATGTGTCGACGTATATTCTTCGGTGGCGGTTTCTATATTTTTTTCGAGCTCCCGTGTTAAGGTTGGCCGAAAGTGGCTCACGAGCCGGGCGTGGGAGTTTATTTTACAAGACGGAGACGACCACCACCGTCGTCGGTCGAGGTCGCCGCTACGGGTTTTGAAAGCGCTGAATGGCACTGGGACGTCGCGAGGAGACGAGTTACGAGTCCACTTGTGTGCGCCGTGCGTGCGTGTCTATGCTCTTAAATTTTCACGTCTTCTAAAACACAAACTCCTGTCACTCGAGCGTCTAATGATCTATTTAATGGTATTTTAATAAAAACAACAGAAGGAATCTATAAACGATGCCAAATTAACGTTGCAAAGTAACATCGACTGCATGAGAATATTTGTGACGTGCGGGGATTGCTATCGCGGCGTAGCCTACGTTTGAACTTTAGGGCCTCATTTTAGGTCTCGAGCAAACACTGGAGCAGTTGTGAACGTCAGTACGATGAGGATGCGACTTTATATTAAAGTGCTTCAGCCTGTATAGACTGCTATGACAGTACGGTATTTGTTAGCGCATTAAAGGAATTGTGAATTGCACCATCATGACCTTTCGTGCAAGTCGCCTTTGCATCCTACTTGGAAGAAAACAGTCAACTGTCATCCCTAAATACAAGGCCACGTTTTCTGTCCAAGTTTGCTATTCCTGATAGCTTGTGTAACTCCTGGTGATTTCTTTTTTAATATCTCACCGCCGATTGGTCACCCTGTACTCCCGCGCATGTGTTCACGGTTGTGCCGTACAGCTCTCCGATTGGTTTTTACCGTTTGACCGCACGTTGTCGGGCGTTTCGGGCTTTCGCTCCCGGTTAGCTTCTTCGCTGTAGTTCCTGAAAAACGTTCTCAGCTCGTCGAGCAGAACGTCGGACATCGTGCCAAAAATAGCATGCGGCAACAACCCAACAGCACATCGGAGAGCCGCATTTCGCTAATCTGTAGCACGGAGAGAGGGAGAGAGAAAGGGGGCAGCATTGCGCCATGTTGAGCCATCCAGTTCACTTGGGCCAGATTCCCAATTTGCCAAACGGCCGATGCACCTCACCGTTACAATTTGACCGAGTGTGTTGTTGGCAATGGAGACATCGGCACTTTATTGGGCACCATTTGGATGAGAGGGGACATTGGGTTAGCGGGCGAATCGGACCTGTGGCGCAATAATAATAATAATAATGATGTCGGTGTGAAGAGGTTGTGTCTTGTATGATAGCCGTTTTGTTGATATGAGGTTGGGTGATGGTGCCCCATTGGCTCTTGGTGTGCACTCTTATTCTCACGTTGCTGTAACTCGGATCCACCTCCTCTCCCGGTTGCTTCAGGATCGTCCTCTTGTTGAGACAGCAGTACTGGGAAATCTCGTTAAGTCTTCCCGAGACTTTAAAAGTCCCGGTTTTGTTGTTGTTAGTTCCTTTATAGTAATGATACACCGCTCGAGACAATGCATCTACGCGTGATATTGTGAGATATTCTTCCCATGACATGTCCCAGGTTTGTGTACCTCAGATGTGGGGGGGGGCGACCCTTACTGGAACACGAACGCCACCAGACACGAAACATCGCCGAGCCGCTGGGAATCATCAGCGGTCGGTGTTGTCGTTAATGTTCGGTGCAATTTGTTGGAACGATGAACATTCCTTTGCACGATCCTTTTACATTCTCGTTTCTCATCTTCGCTTTTCAGTGGTTGGCGCTGGGGAGGGAGGGGGTGGTGGCTTCACATATATATATTTTTTATCGGACGTGGTGGCAGAGTTGGTTAGCAAATTGCACAGTCAAGCTGGCAATCTGAGTATTGATTTCATGGCCAATGGCTAACATCGGTGGTGAGTGATAAGAACCAGCCCTGGGCCAAACTTCACCAACCTGCATTGGTTGTTCCAGCGTGGTGAAGTATGGTCAAACACGCTCACGACTAAAGCGCATTGGGGGAGGGCTGTCATGGCAGCAATAGATTGTCGAAGTGCTGGCAGTTATTCCCAGTGCATACGAATATTGTTCATTATGAATGTTCACCATTTTGGCTCAAACAATATGTTCCGAGTCTGGGATGTTACCAGTTGCAATGAAATGCTTCCTCTAAAAATATACAAACTGTTTTAGAAAAACGTTAAATAACAATAGCGGTGTTGTAATTGACAGCAAACCGGACTCAATGACGCAAAAAAAACCTCGGCTATTTAATTTGCATCGGAGGTCTGGACGTAACTTTAGCAGAAGGTGTAGAAAATCCCCTCCCTCACTGCGTCGCTCCACTTAACAAAAAACGAATCGCCTGCAATGTTGGCCTTTAAACCACAGTCAAGTCTTTTCTAGCCAGAATATCGTCCCATCGTCCACCCACCGTGCCCTCACATCAATGCGTGCATGTTAACGAGCGGCGTGGCCGCTGTGTCGCTGGCTCCCCACACCGTAGGTCGGCGCTAGAGACTCGTAAGGCGCCGGGCACTTCGAGCAATGACAAAGGGTGGGTAGGGGGGGGGTAGGTGGGTGGGTGGGGGGGGTAGGTGGGTGGGTAGGGGTGGGGTTGGTGGGTGGGGGGGGGTTGGTGGGCAAGCAATTGGGGCGCTAATTACGTGTGCAGCATTACCCCCCCCCCCCCCGAATATTTTCGCCGAACAGTACTGCAGCGCTGTCGCCGTGCATTAGCCACGTGTTTTACGGACTTTGTAAACATTCACCACGGCGTAACATCCTCCGTGCGAAGGAATCGTTTATAGCCGCCCGGTTTCATGCGAACCCTTGTCGGGGTGGACACGGGGGTCGTGGTTTCGCCTCTTGACACGCGGACGGCGGGAGGCGATGTGGTGCCGTACACGGACGCAATTCACAGCGCGATGAGCCGTGGCGGCATCGGGAACGCACGGGAAGCATCGTGCCGTGCGGGGAGGGGAGGGGGGGCACCCTGTGTGTGTGTGCGCGTGCGGAGCTGCGGTGCGAAGGGTTGCGAACGAACTCTGTCAGCTGTCAGCCGGTCGTCTGGTTTCCTGCAAAGTAACGATCTGGGTGCAGCACCTGGCGATGTTGACGCGGCGGTGGTGGAGGATTCTCGGTCGTGGGTGATGGTGGTGATGGTGGTGGTGATGGTGGTGGTGATGATGGGGGTGTTTTGTCTTCACGCCCCCACGTTAACTTTAGTAATCCCGTCTGCTCTGGACAAGGTGATCGCTACGGTGTATAAAAAGGTGGTTGTTAGGGTTTTTTTAGTGTGTCCGTGACAATCCACTGGGGGAATGCGAGCCACCGCACAAACAGCAAGCAGGGGGGGTTGGCGTGCGTCTTTTTGCATCGTTTCCATTTTTTTTAATTTTGTAATTTTTTTCATTCATTTCATTCATTTACATTTTTTTTTATGAAAAAAAATTTCAAAATTTTCCCATTTGTTCCCCACGTTCTGTTTGGTTGCCGTCTGGCCGTGGTCGTTCCTTGGAGTCTTCTATTTTCGTGCTTTGGTATTAACGGGTTTCCACGCATCATGGATCGATTTTTAATTAACGTAACCTTTCTTGTTTGTTCTTGCATGGGTTCTACAACAACAACAACAAAAGGCAGCCACAAACCTCGCGGAAAAAGACTTGTCCGTCAAGGCAATCGCACTTTCTGGGTGTCGGGTAAATGGACCAAACAAACGCTGAGCGGCGGGGAAGCCGTTGGCTTCATCATGCACGTGTCACTCCGAGCAGCTGACTTCACCTGGGGCGACACGGTGGCTAAGAGATGCTAACTATCTCGCCTGGTGTACAGGAGGTCGTGGGTTCGATCCTGACCCTTACGCCTGCTGTATATTTGTAGTTTGCGTCTCTCTCTTTCTCCGTGGTCGCATGGATTTTTCTCCGGGTCCTCCGGTTTTTGCCACCCCCCCCCCCCTCCACATTTTTAATGGACATCACGTTGAGAATTGTTTGGCTGATAGGAATTTCCACACGTTAATAAGCCACTTGGTTGAGCGATCATTTGTGATCGCCAGGTCGCTTCTGAAGCAGAGAGCGCTATGTAGCTCGGTAAACCCTTACCTGGTAAAATACAAAAAATGAGTGAGTTTTTGTTAATAGTTCGCTTTAACCTCTGTCTCCGTGGAACATCCTCGCGGTTTTGTAGAAGGACGTCGCTCCGCCAATCGCTCGCTGGCATTGCTCGATAGATAAAAGGGGGTGGGGGGGCTCAGCGTTGGCAGTGGGAGCCCCACTTCTGTTCCCCACGCACAGCAACCCCCCCCCTGCCCCACCTCCCACCACCCCCCCACCCCCCGCGTGATTTTGGCACTTGCAAAAATAAAAGCATTACAAGTTGTCACGTGTGGGTTTGGTAACTCGTATTCCGCTTGCGTTTTCGCAGCGCGCGTGCACGCGCCCCCAGTTTTTGTATGATTTATTTCCAGCGGAAGTGCGACTGCCTTGGCCGTGTTGCAAATTTTTTTGTTTTCGTGAATTTGCGATCCGGTCGTTTTTTGTGTGTGCGCGTGAGAAACAATTTGCTAAGGAAGCCGCTAACGACGCACGCGTGTGGCTCCAATGGTTGCCGCTGTAAATATTCACGGGGGGAGGGGTGGGGTGGGGGGGCGATACGGTGGCATGAGGACACACGGCGCTTTCGAGAATTACCGGTGCACCACCCCATGTAATATATCATCACCATCATGTGTCCGTGTGCTTCAGCCTGTGTGTGTGTTCACCTGTCCAGTGCAACCTGCTGTTTACAACACGTGCATGTTTTGGGCTGAGCACAGTTTTGGGGAGGGGCGGGGGGGCAGTGTTCCACTGGGCACACGTGTTGGGGGCACACAGCGACCAAATGTGCGCCGATATAACCGAGTCTGTGCGCGCGCACGCACGGACGCGCGTACTTTTACAAATGCGGCTAATTAAACCCGCCATCTCATCGTCTGGACCAATGCTTGTGTGTGTGTGTGTGCTTTGTTCCCATCCGTAGTTGTGCGCGCACGCTTACTGCGCTCCGTTGTGAGCGTTATTCCGCGCTGTACGGGGGGACACGTTGGCATGTTGTCGAATCAGCCAAAATAATGTCAACGTGGTGGTTTTTATTTTTTTTGGGGGGGGGGGCTTGCAAGCGGTCGGCACAGTTAATCGAAAACAAAAAAAATTGGAGGTCAAAGTTCAAGTTTATTTAGTTTAACCCGGCGAGATTGCAAGCGTGGCCTGGGTGGTCACTAAAATTACGAACTCCGAAATAAATCGACTAAAATACAGCAATGAATCGAATCTAAATCGGGGGAAAAAACAACTGCCGCATGACAAATCCGAAATACCGCACGAACACATTTCAATATTACAACAACAACATTCCATCTCGTAGTCGGCTCGTGCCGATTATTCTTAGACGGATCGTGGAACAATAACAATGAAGTTGCAGATATATTAAACAGATGCAGGGTGCACCTGTACCAAGTGTAAACGGACGATGATATACGATGTCATATGCAATTGCATTTTAAGCGATCATCAAGAATCGAAAGTTCATTTGTGATCCAGCTTGGGGTAGTCACTAAGGGCGTTTTAAGCAATGGAACACTCCGGGTGTTTGGGGTAGAGTGGGTGAAGGCACATTCGACAACGTGTGCATTGTGTCCCATGCAGTCTACATAAATACGCATACACAGCACGCACGCATGGCAGTTTGTTCAAAACAAAGTGTAAGGCACGTGTACTGTGTGGTGTATACACACACGTGTACTGGTGTGGTGTGTGTATACACACAGATGCACTGTGTTGTGTATACACACGTGTACTGTGTGTATACACACGTGTACTGTGTGTATACACACGTGTACTGTGTGTATACACACGTGTACTGTGTGTATACACACGTACTGTGTGATGTGCACACGCACACGCGTACTGGTGTGGTGTGTGTATACACACAGATGTACTGCGTGTCGTGTATTGTTCCGAGTCCATGGAGTCATTGGCTATGGGGCCTCGCTGTCATGTGCAAATCACGTGAGCCATTGAGCAGTGTCATGGTGGTGGGTACGTTTAAAGGCGAAACTAACACTGTTACCCTGGACCTAAACAGAGTATGTCAATGTATACACAGCGTGTACAAACTATATACAGGGTGCTTCAAAGAAATGTTAACACTTATATGGGACTCGTTTTTAATGGAAAAAGAACGGATAAAATACTGTCACGTGATAACAAGTGGATGTTAATAGCTTCAAAAAGTCAAAGAGTCTCCGTTTGTTCGCCATTGTTGTCAACGCATTGCCTGGAATCTTCTCCAGGTGGTCTCCAGAGCCCGGAGGCACAACATTTCTCGTGGTATTGTTGCAAATTATCAGAAGTGTTAAACAAAAACGTTGAAGCACCCTGTTTTTATATCCGTGCACTTCATGGCGGTCATGCGGTTTTGTGTCGAGGCGTTCACGTGGCTGACCATAAATCACATTCGATGTTTTTTGGTGAGTGCCACACGATACAGCACTATCTATACACACATCGATTACTGTATAAAACATTTAATTACCAGATTTGAAATAGTTTTGTCGTCTTCTTACACGCTCATGAGTTACATTACCAGTATCCAGATATAACCGCCGGCTCTACCGTTACACGTTTAAATCAACGTTTTCGTTCAATTGGGAGATGCAATTCTTTGCCCAGAAATTGTGCACAAACGTATTTGATTCTGGGCGCTTTTGGTTTTTGCTTATTGGTCGGTGCAGCAGAGCTCAAATGGTCCGGTCTACCGATGCAGTACTCAAATCAGTCGGACGCGCACACGAAGGGAACGGTGGACCGACCTTACGGAGGGAGTCGTATTCGCAAAGCCATTCCCTCGAATTTAGCAAAAAAACAAATAAACATTTGTCCTGTTCGCACACCGCGTTCGCTTTCGCGGTTGTGCTGTTACAGGATTGTTGACGCGTGTCGTTCGGCGGCATGTCCGACGTTTCGCTGCTCGGTTGCCGTGGGAGCTTGCCGGCACGTGCGGGGAACGAAGCGTGTGACATCGTGTCGCCAACAACGCGCGCCCTCTTACAACGACGTCGGAGAGAGAGAGAACGCGACGAGAGACTGTAACGCTTTCGTCCACGACCGCTTTGAAAGTGCTTCGCGCCGCGTTTCGTGACAGCGCCGTCGTATTTGGAAACGATAAAATTGGGGAGCCAAACACGCCGCGGGGTTGGTTGCACGCTGGGGGTTTTTTTGTTTTGTTTTGTTGCACGAAATGCAACTTGCAGATAACGACCATCACGCAGTAGCAATATAAAGCCACGCACGCACGCGTTCTGAAGTGGCAGCAGCAGCAGCAACGTCTTGTGTCATGCCGTGCTCGCGCGCCCGTGTGTATATTATCGACACCCACCTCACTTAACGAGTGTGCGTGCACACGTGTAATTAATACCGACGATTAATTCAGAGAAGAAAAAAAAACTAACAAAAAGCCAAAAAAAAAGCCAGCAGACACGAGTAGTTACACATACGTGGTGGGAGCTCCGGGTTTTGTTTCTTC